AAAAAAAAAAAAAAAAAAGAGTGGATAAATAAATAAATAATTAAAAAAACAAAACAAAACATTTCATTGGCCAAAACAGGGCCAAGCCCAAAGTAAGGTGACATTGCACCTATGCAGGTGGAAGGAGAAAGATGGCTTGTCCCTGGAAAATAATCTAATCTACCATAAGTAATATTTGAGTTTTTAAAACTGCATGCAAGGGGGAACCAGCAGTTAGCGTAATGGCTATGTCACCGGACTCCCACATAGTTGATCATGGTTCACGTCCCAGACCCGGTGGCTTAAAACTCACGCCGGGCATGTGTGCGTGCATGCCCAAGATCCCAAGAGGAGAATGGAGGAGAAGGGATTGTGGCATGACCATCCCCCCTGGGGGTGATTTCTTGCTTTCTGTCTCTATGTCTCTCCCTGTCTGTCTGGCGAGCGCACACGCCCTATAGCGAAAATCTCTCCCTCCCCCCAAAAAAAAACTGCATGCATTTAGTGTAATGGCTATGTCACTGGACTCCCACGTAGTCGACCGTGGTTCGAGTCACGGACCCCGTGGCTTAAACTCAACGTCAGGTGCGTGTGGCATGGCCATCCCCCCGGGGGGGTTATTTCTCACTTTCTGTCTCTGTCTCTCTCTGTCCTATAGCAAAAACCTCTCAAAAAAACAAAACAAAACAAAATGTGCAAGGGACTAGTAGATGGTATAATGGTTACATCGCTGGACTCACACATAGTCGACTGCAGTTCGAGTCCCAGACCCAACAGCTTAAAAATGCACGCTGGGATGTGTGTACGTGTGCCCAAGATCCTGAGGAGAATGGAGGAGAAGGGATGGCAGCTTAGCTGTCCCCCTGGGGCGGGGGGAGGGTGGTTTCTTGCTTTCTGTCTCTCATGCACCCTCTATCAAAAATCTCTCTCTCAGAAGAACCCCAAAACTGCAACATATTGATTTGACAAAAACGTGGACTCACCCTTTTCAGATCTTGATGGTGACGCAGTTGTCTCAGGTACATTAACTCTGGTTCACTCTCTGTCTCACTGCTCACTGTCTTGCCGTTTTTACGTGGTCATGGCTGTTTCATGCTGCGGCACACAATCTGCACAGCTGTCTTCTTTTAAGAGTTTATATTTCATGTGGCGCCGTGGTTTGAATCCCAGCCCCAGATGTATGAAAAACATTTCAGGCATGTGTGCATGCGTGCCCCAAATCCTAACAGGATGAAAAAAACGATAGAGAAGACTGTGGCATGACCACAGCCCACTGGGGGTCCTTTCTCCCTTTCTCTGTCTCCCTCTGGTGAATCCATGCAGCCTCTAGCAATTGGAAAAAAGTTTACTCTGGGAACTGGAGCAAAACGGCCTGTCTTTGGTTCTCCTTCCATCTACCTAAATACCTTGGTTTATGGTTTGTTTTAGAAGACAGGGGTTTGGGCCATGTCTCGATTTTGCTTGTCTCCTGACTGGGAATACAGCCACACACCAGCTCTTTTTTAGATAGAGTCCCATTATGTGAACTGAACCCAGGCCTCCCATTTGATCCTAGCCTGTGGAGCATAGCTTCTTGGCAGTGAGTAACAGCATGGTTAGGCTCCTCATTCTTTTTCCCCACCATTTATTTTTATTATTCTAGTTTTTGCTACAGAGTGCCTACACTGGCCAGGGCAAGAGAGAGAGAGAGACCCACACACACACACACGGAGGATGGTCACACTGCAATCCTTCTTTATTCTTCTCTTGGGATTTTGGGCATGCACACACATGTGCCCAGCATGATTCATAAGTCACCAGGTCCAGGACTCGAACCGTGCAGTCGGCCATGTGGGATCCAGGGACATTAACCTCCATACCACCTGCTGACCCCCTCCTTGGTTCTTGGAACCCACATCTAATCACTTGCCTCCCCTCTCTCTGTCACTCCTATTTCCACACTTCTTCAAAATTGAGAGGGGGTGTCTTTTGCCTGTCCCCTTGCCAATAGCCAAAGGTGAAGTCATTCTAGAACTCAAATGATTTCTCCTAAAAATATCAAATGTTGGGAACAGCAGGTGGCATGGTGGTTAAGGCGCTGGGTGCTCCCACATGGCTGACCACGGTTCAAGTCCTGGACCTGGTGGCTTGCTCTCTCACCTTCTCTTTCTCTCTCTTTCTGTGTATCTCTCCAGTCAAATTAAAAATGAATGAATGAATAAATAAAGTTAAATGAATAATTTTTTAAAAAATCAAATGTTAAAGACATTTAAAACATTTACACAAGTGCAGTGTTACATAAATAACAATCACAATTTTTTAAATAAAAAACACTGTTTTAGAGAATCACACGAAATATATGAAAGTGCTTGGTAACTGGTGAATCCATGCAGCCTCTAGCAATTGGAAAAAAGTTTACTCTGGGAACTGGAGCAAAACGGCCTGTCTTTGGTTCTCCTTCCATCTACCTAAATACCTTGGTTTATGGTTTGTTTTAGAAGACAGGGGTTTGGGCCATGTCTCGATTTTGCTTGTCTCCTGACTGGGAATACAGCCACACACCAGCTCTTTTTTAGATAGAGTCCCATTATGTGAACTGAACCCAGGCCTCCCATTTGATCCTAGCCTGTGGAGCATAGCTTCTTGGCAGTGAGTAACAGCATGGTTAGGCTCCTCATTCTTTTTCCCCACCATTTATTTTTATTATTCTAGTTTTTGCTACAGAGTGCCTACACTGGCCAGGGCAAGAGAGAGAGAGAGACCCACACACACACACACGGAGGATGGTCACACTGCAATCCTTCTTTATTCTTCTCTTGGGATTTTGGGCATGCACACACATGTGCCCAGCATGATTCATAAGTCACCAGGTCCAGGACTCGAACCGTGCAGTCGGCCATGTGGGATCCAGGGACATTAACCTCCATACCACCTGCTGACCCCCTCCTTGGTTCTTGGAACCCACATCTAATCACTTGCCTCCCCTCTCTCTGTCACTCCTATTTCCACACTTCTTCAAAATTGAGAGGGGGTGTCTTTTGCCTGTCCCCTTGCCAATAGCCAAAGGTGAAGTCATTCTAGAACTCAAATGATTTCTCCTAAAAATATCAAATGTTGGGAACAGCAGGTGGCATGGTGGTTAAGGCGCTGGGTGCTCCCACATGGCTGACCACGGTTCAAGTCCTGGACCTGGTGGCTTGCTCTCTCACCTCTTTCTCTCTCTTTCTGTGTATCTCTCCAGTCAAATTAAAAATGAATGAATGAATAAATAAAGTTAAATGAATAATTTTTTAAAAAATCAAATGTTAAAGACATTTAAAACATTTACACAAGTGCAGTGTTACATAAATAACAATCACAATTTTTTAAATAAAAAACACTGTTTTAGAGAATCACACGAAATATATGAAAGTGCTTGGTAAACTACACACACACAAGTTATTTGTAGAAAAGACATGTGATTTTGATATCCAAATTGAACATTAAAAACATTAACCCATTTGGGTGAGCTAGTAGCATGCTAGTTCATGTGTTTTATCACATATGGTCAACTGTGCTGTTTGAGTCCCAATGGCAGCTTGAGAAACACAGGCATGCTCAAAGGGAGAGAAAAATGGAGGAGTACTGTGGCCTGACCACTTTCCATGGGGAATGAGAAAGCACCCCTACTCTACTCTGCCCCTGGCTAGACCACTTGCCCTTTGGTCTAAAAAACAAAAAACACTGACATATTGAAAATATTGTTTTATTTTAATAACTACTGGTGAGTGTGCTAAGTAGTTGCACTTACATGGAGTTGCTCAGATGTATTTCCCACTTGTGGAACTTTCGCTCGAGTTATTCTCTAGGCTGTGTGTATAAGCCTTTTTAATGCAGTGCTGTCTGTACAGAAAATGATCAGAAATAACCTGTGTTATCAGTGAGTCACCAGCAAATAAATTATGGAGCGTGCCCACAGCGGCATATGGTCTATTTGAATAAATGAAAATACGAGGAATTTCTTTTTGATATGAAAAGATCCTCCAAGATATCCACTTACTAAGAGTGGGTGGGTGGAGGAAGTGCAGAACAATGTGTATATATATATGAGATAGAGGGTAAATAATTTGTATCGATTTGTGCTTGCATAAAGAAACACCCAAAGGATGCACAAGGAATGAATTGCAGTAACCAGTAGGAAATAGAGGCTGGTGATGGAACTGGTTGGAGAGGACAGGGATAATGTTTATCATCTTGGTTTTTGAAGCTAGTGAAAATACTGATATTTGAAATAAGTTTTTTAATAAAATAATGTAAATAAATCTAATCAAGTACTTATTAGGCCTACACGTTCAGCCTTGTTGTAATCCTGTGGACGCAGCAACAGCGTCAGGACCTTTAAACACGAAGGAGAGAGAAACCAACAACCCCTTAAGTTACTGTGTGTGAATAAATGCTCCGCAGTCACTTGGGTTCAGGGGCCAAGCATTGGGGAGAAAGGACCAGGAGAGTCCTAACAGATCTGAGGTCAAAACAGGAAACTATTCCAAGAAAGAGGAACAATGTAAAAGGAGACAGGAGTGCATTGGAGGAAAGTGAAGGATGAATCTAATAAAAAAATACAGTTTTAGAGGGACCAGCAGGTGGTGTGGTGGTTAAGGGGCTGGGCACTCCCACATGGCCAACCATGGTTCGAGTCCTGGTGGTTTGCCTCCTCACTCTCTACCCTACCCCCCCATGTCTCACTCTGGTCATATTAAAAAAATAATAATAAAATGAAAGAATAAAATGAATAAATAAAACTGAATACATAATTTTTAAAAATACAGTTTTAAAACAAGGCACAGCCACTCGAGATGCCAGCATCGCCTCCGGGCTGCGCAGGGAGCGGGTTAAACAGCGAGGACAGGAGGGTCGGTGCCCGCGCGTCAAGCCGCAGGACCCCCATGCTGCTGGGCTGCCCCAGGGGAAATACACTGCGGAAAGGCCGCACCCCGCCGCCGTCCGGGTGGACTCGGCCGGATGTGACGCAGCGTGGCGCGGGAGCAGCGCGAGTCTGCGCAGTGCGGAGCCGAGGGCTCCGCGGGTGCTGCGCGTGCGTGCTGGCGTGCGTACCCGTGTAGTCTGGTGTGGGGTGAGTGGTCTCGGTGATAACGGGCTGAAGCTCCTCGTCTGCGGGAAGAGGCGTGGGGTGCAGGTCAGGACCCCTGGGAGTGTGGCGCGCGCCGGCAGTGACGCACCGGGGGCGCTCGGTCTCCCGCTGGACGGTGTCCTGCTGGACCCAGCCCCGGTGCGGGCCCTGGGCAGGGAGCAGCTCTCGTGCCACGGAAACGGGCTCACCCCTCCCGGGGGTTCCGGGGCTGTGCGGACTCGCCCGGTGTCCTCGAGTTTGACGAACACGCGTTGTCGCTTAAGCAGATCCTGGGACTTTTGACCTCCCGCATTTAACGCTGAAGCTATCAGGGTTTTCTGCGTAGTATCTCACCGGCTCAACTGTTAACTAGTTAACCCTCTGTTTAACTCGTCTTGTTAAAGTCTGTTTTGCACGGATGGCAAACCCCAGAAAGTAGGCAGAACAGTTCAGAACCTCATTCAGCGGCTGTCTTTTACAGTGAGAGAACTACGTGCAGAGAAGCTAGTTGGGTTGGCCTCTGTGAGGGGAATTTCCATCTTAATCATAAAAAATGGCATTCACATACTTAACACTCTTAGCCAACCCAACCCACCCAAAATGTTAGTACAATTATTGGAACTAAAAAAAAAATCACCTCTAAAATGCTTACAGGCTAATCGCTAAAGATTGTGTAGTTAAGTTTTTGCCCGTGGATATATATATATGAAAATTATGAAATGCAAGACCCACATACTTGTGTTTTAGAAAACTTCATTTGAAATATAGTATTAGAAATCGGTTTTACAAAAACATGGTAAAAGAAAATCAACTAACTCATGTTAACCTCACTGCGTTTTCATCTTAGAAACAGAAGGATTGAAACGCTTATGTAAACCAGCATTAACCTGAAATGCTTTTTTTGGTATATTCAGTTTTGTTTGTCAGAACCTTTTCCTGAAGAAAGGTACTTTCTTAACAACTTAGGATATTCCATAGTTACAGTGAAAGTTGTTTGAGGTTTTTTTTCTTTTTTGTTTTTTTAAGTCTTAAAAAAAATAACATAAAAATGGCTTCAAAAAGAGCTTTGGTCATCCTGGCTAAAGGAGCAGAGGAAATGGAGACGGTCATCCCTGTAGACGTCATGAGGCGAGCTGGGGTAAGTGCCCCACTGTTTCCTAGTCCTCTAGTTGTAAAATTGTTGGAGTTTTGAAAGTTATCTTGAAAAAAAAAATGTGAGAACTGTTTTAAACATACAAAAGCACACATTACATAATATGCACTTGTTTACCCAGTACTCACATTTAATACTTCGTTAACATTTGCCATATTTCCTTTAGGCCCATTTCTTATAGAACAAGTGCTTAAAAAAATACAGTAGAAACTCTTTGTAAATTTCTTCAATCATGCCCCTTCCTCCTTCCTTGGAGATAAGGGCTGTCCTCACATTGGTGTGTATCCATCCCAGACATTTCTCTAAAGCAGCAGTAGACAACTGGAAGGTTGGAACTGTTAGAATGGTTCTCATTCTCCACGTTTTTATATATTCTATATCTGTGTAAATATATATTTATATAGATAGATAGATAGATAGATAAACGGCAAGCAGATGGTGTGGAGGTTAAGGCAGTTCGGTCCCGCCTGGCTGGCTGTGCACTTCAAGTCCCTGACCGATGGACTTGAAAAACATGCTGGGTGCATGTGTGTGTGTGCCCAAAATCCTAAGAAGAGAATGGGGGAAAGTAGCATCCTATTGGGGATGCCTTCTCACTTTCCCTCTTTCTCTTTGTCTCTGGTGAGTGCACACACCATTTAGCAAAAAATAAATAAATAAATAAAAAATAAAAAAGATGTATGTTTCTAGATATCTAGATACGTAGATATAAAATGATAGCAAACACTTAAGTAGCACTGACATGTGCCAGGCATCATGTTAAGCAGTTAGAACAACCCCTACAAGTTAGACATTGTCTTCCCCATTTTATGGTTAAAGAAACTGATGCACAGAGACCCTAAATAATGGGTCTATGTCACAGAGTTAGTAAGTAGGGGAGCTAGAACTCACACCCAAGCATTCGGCCCCCAGAGTCTGTTAACCTTATACTCTTCTGTTTTTCAAAAATGAAGGTCCATGGGAACCAGCAGTTAGTGTAATGGCTATGTCGCTGGACTCCCATGTAGTCAACCGTGGTTCGTGTCCCGGACCCGGTGGCTTAAAACTCACGCCGGGCGCGTGTGCGTGCGTGCCCAAGATCCTGAGAGGAGAATGGAGGAGAAGGGATTGCGGCGTGACCATCGCCCCTGGGGAGTGATTTCTCGCTTTCTGTCTCTATGTCTCTGTCTGTCTGGCGAGCGCACGTGCCCTATAGCAAAAACCTCTCCAAAAAAAAAAATAATAATGAAGGTCTATGTAGGTACAGTATACTCATGTAAAACTGCTGATTAGGAGCCAAGCAGTCATTTCATAGTTAGGAGGGCTGGGTTTCCTATGGCTAACTGTGGTTAGAGCCCCACACCCAAAGGCTTGGAAAAAAAGAAAACACTTGGCACGTGTGTGTGTGTGTCCCAAATCCCAAAAGGAGAAATGGAAGAGAGGGGATTGTGGTGTGGCTGTCCCCCACCAAAGGGTGGGGGGACTTTTATACTTTGTCTCTCCAGTGAGCATATGCACCCTCTGGCAAACTAGAGAGAAGAGAAAAGAATCATTTAAAAATAATAATAAAATTGCTGCTTTGTATTGTTCTGTGTGAATATGCCACAGTCTGTTTATCCTTAAAATATTGCAATGCTATAATATTTCTTATAGATTTTCTGATGCAGGTATGTCGAAGTTTTTTTAGACACAGTAAAGAAGGAATATAGAGTGCCAGCAGGTTGCATGATGGTCATGGTACTAGATCCCACATGACTGAGTCTGTGGCTGGAGTCCTGGACCCAGTGACTCGAAAAACAAGCTGGGCACCTGTGTATGCATGCTGAAATCCTGAGAGGAGACTGGAGGAGAAAGGATTGCAGTGTGACCATTCCTCCTGGGGCCAGGGGTGGGGATGGTGATTTCTCTCCCTCTTTCTCTGTCTCTCCTACAAACACATGTGCTCTGTGGTAAAAATCTAAAATTAAGGAAAAAAAAAAAAGACTGTCTGTAACTAAAAATGGAATTGCGAAGCCAAAGTAAAGCCCCAGCTGGCATCACTTTTCGTTTTTTTTTTTCTCTTTTATGATAGAATGCTGTGTGAGAGAGAATGGAAGAGGAAGGCACCCTTGAAAGGGTTTTGTCACACCAACTCTCCAGCTTGTGAGGATCTTAGGATCCTAGGCACTGGCACACACCCTGTGCGTTTTTCAGACTCGCCCAGGTCTAAACTGTGGTGACCATATGGCGTCCAGTGCTGCAGGGTCCTAGTGTTACTGCTGTGCCCCAGCACCTGGACCCATTGCTAGATTGCTCTACCAATTTGTAATTCCACTAGCAGTGTAAGAAGATGCCTATTTTTCCAATAGTAGCTGTTGGTATTGTCATCTTAAGGTTTTGCAAGATTAAGTAGTATGTCATTGTTTTAACTTGGCATTTTTAGCTTAGAAAAATACTTAGACATTTAAATGGCAACAGTAACCTTGCCCGAAGGGTTATTAATAGGATGATGGTATAATTTATCACCCACATCAGAACACTTGTAGCCAAAGAGGTATTCTAACCAGACAGAGTGCCAGGACATCAGCTACAGATCGGGACTCTTGCATTACATGTTATTAAATGTATTTAATAACATGTTTTATTTTTCTTTTAGCTTAAGTTTAGTATGGTTTTGTTGCAGTATGTCCTGCCAAATTATTTTACAGCAAAAGGTAGCTGTGAAAATGTTACTCTTAAATTTATGTTTCAGTGTTCTTAAATATCATGATGACATCTTTCTCTTAGATTAAGGTCACTGTTGCTGGCCTGGCTGGAAAAGACCCAGTGCAGTGTAGTCGTGATGTTGTCATTTGTCCTGATGCCAGTCTCGAAGATGCAAAAAAAGAGGTTTGTTCTCCATACTTGGAATTATTCTTTCATATGGCTTCTTTGTATCTTGAAGTTTTTTGACTCTAAGAGTATTTTAAGAAAATAATATGGTTGTGTGTCCTCCCCACTAAACTAAAGTAGAATTCAGTTCATCTTTCTATTCTGTATTCCTAGACCTTGGAACTGACGTTAAGCATGTTATTAAGCACTAACATGGGTGGCCGGCTGGCTGGCTGGTGGGTGAGTGGATGGGTGCTTACATGGATGGCTAGATAGGAGCATTGTTCTTCCATCAGTATTGGGCTTACACAGGTATCCTTTGCTCCTGTTACAGCTTTTTCACTGGTGTATGGGAATTAACTGCCACTTTTCCCATTATTGTTCTTTTTTTAAAAGCTGCCTTTCACTTTTCCCTTTACAATGATAAAGATATAGTTATATGATTCATTTAACATGTAACAACTCACACTTGGTTGGTGATCACATTAAGAGAAGAGTAAGATTCTGTTGGGTCATCAAAAAAGTCATGATGCATTTTTGCATAGAAAACAGAAAAATACAGCATGACTTTTCTGATGACCCAGTACTTGAATGTGCCACCTTTTCAATATCCTTAGAATTATGATTCTCATCTTTAAGGGCAGTGGACATTTTTAGAATTCTATTGGGAACTGGAATTCCTTTCCTCAGAAACATGCCCACCCATGGGCTCTTTTGCACACCCTATCGTAGGGTCAGACCTGGCAGGCCAGGGTAATAAGAGTGGCCGTACCTTCTTGGAGCAGAGACAGGGCAGGAAAGGAAATGGAACCAACACCTGAACTGTGCTGAAGGTCCTGGGTAGGATTTGAGGACATGCTAGGCTGTTCTTATAATAGTGGTCACCGTTTCTATGTATGTATTGTTCAGTTTAGATTCTAAAAGGAGTGAAAGAAATTCTTTATTTCTTATATTTTCTTTTTGTTTTTTCTGTTTTGTTTGGTTTTACAACAACAGTAGAGTGTTTATGGTCTAAAAAATCTTAAAAAGTATACATTACAATAAATGTGTGCTAAACTTTCTTTTTATAATTTGCTTAACTTTTTTTTTTTTTTTTTAGAGGTTTTTGCTATAGGGGGCCTGTGCTCACTGGAGAAACAGAAAGTGAGAAATCAGCCCATGGTGTGGGGGGATGGCCACGCCACAGTCCCTTCTCTTCTCGTCTACACTTGGGATTTTGGGGCATGCATGCACATGTGCCCAGCATGAGTTTCAAGCTGCTGGGTCCAGGACTCAAACCATGGTCAACTATATGGGAGTTCAGTGATGTAACCATTACACCATCTACTGGTCCCAACAACTACATTTTTTAACTCATTTAAAAACCTTAAAAAATTGTTAAAGCATTAAAAAAAGAAAAAAAGAATTATTGGACTAGGAGATGGCTTAATTGTTACCTCACTGGATTCCCATGTAGTTGACCGTGGTCGAGTCCTGGACCTGGTGGCTTAAAAAACTCTGGCCAGGTACATGTGCGTGAGTGCCCAAGATCCTGAGAGGAGAATGGAAAAGAGATTCGGTGTGGCCACCCCCCCGGGGGGTGATTTTTCACTTTCTATCTCTGTGTTTTTCTCTGTTTCTCTAGTGAATCCATACACCCTATAGCAAAAATCTCTCTTAAAAACAAAAAAGAGAGAATTGTTAAAATAATTGCTATTTTGTGATTTCAGCAAATTGAGTTTTAGGATGTTTTTGTGTTTAGAATATTAAAATATTATGTCATCACCCACCCCCAGTTTCATTTTTCATGAATGTTAGATAAAACTTTTTCTATGCCTTCTGCTTAAAATTTTTCTTTGAGTTGTTTAAATTGCTGTGTATGTTCTTGTGGAGAATAACTCACACTCTGCAGGTGTTACCAAGTCAAATGTTAAGTGTCCTGTTCTCACGCTCCCTTTTCCTTCCACTCCACCCCACTTTGCTCCTGTTAGCTCTGGAGAAGCTCCTTGGCTGTGAGTTCATATATGTATATGGGATGGGCCATATACGTAACATTCATTCATATATATGTACATTTACATATACAGATGGCAGTTCCCCATTATCCACGGGGGCTACATTCCAAGACCCCATGGGTGCCTCCGACCCCGGTTACTACGAACCCAATACTGTATGTTGCGTTTTTGCCTGTTCACACATACCTCTGATAAAGTTTAGTTTATAAATGAGGCACAGTAAGAGATTAACAACAATATAAAATTGAACAATTATAATTATATACTATAATAAAAGTTAGGTAGGGACTGGCAGGTTGTGTAGTGGTTAGGGCTCTGGAGTCCCACATGGCCAACCCCAGTTTGAGTCCCAGAGAAGGCAGCTTGCTTTCTCATTTTCCCTTTCTCGCTGTCTCTCCCTGGTCAAATTTAAAAAAATTTATAAATAAAATTAAATCAAATAAATCATTCTTTTAAAAATAAATGAAAGTTATGTGAATGGCGTCTGATTCTCACCCATCCCCCCAAATATCTTACTGTCCTGTACCTCAGGTAACTTAAATGACAAGAAGTGAAACCACACATCAGGGGGGACTACTGCATACTATGTGATTTTTTGTCTTTTTATAAGAATGAGATTATAGGGACCAGCAGTTAGCGTAATGGCTATGTCGCTGAACTCCCATGTAGTTGACCGTGGTTCGAGTCCTGGACCCGGTGGCTTAAACTCATGCCGGGCACATGTGCATGCATGCCCAAGATCCTTAGAGGAGAATGGAGGAGAAGGGATTGTGGCGTGGCCATCCCCCCTGGGGGGTGATTTCTTGCTTTCTGTCTCTCTGTCTCTCCCTGTCTTTCTGGCGAGCACACGCACCCTATAGCAAAAACCTCTCCAAAAAAAAAAGAATGAGATTATACTACACCTGCTGCACCGCGACAGGTTACTGTGTCCAGGCTTTCTGCATTTTTAGCTCATTACAACAACATTCCATCATATGTTTATAGCTGAGTTTGACTCGTCTGTTGACAGATATTTAGATTATTTCCTTTATTTTGATTGTGTTATACATTTAAAATATGAAATGTTCTCGAACTGTCACTTTAATGCACATTTGAAAGGAAATGTTTTCACTTTCTTTTTTTATTTCTTAAACTGTTACAGGGACCATATGACGTGGTGGTTCTACCAGGAGGTAATCTGGGTGCACAGAATTTATCTGAGGTAAAACTACTCATTTATACTCTGTATAAAGCTGTGGGGGCAAGGGGACTCAAAAGAGAATTTCAGCTGCTGCCTGTGTTCTGTTGATTTTGTTAGTATCTAGACATTTTGGGGAACAAGCCATTAATAAAATAGAAACAGCTAAAATTAACACAATAGTGTTCTAGCCTTAATTGAAAAAGCATTTCTAATAATGTTTCCTGTAGACAAAAACTAAATTGGTGGAACAATGATTTTTTGAATGGATTCTTGAATACAGCCCAAAATAAGACTGCGTAGTTTTCCTTCCCCCAACAGCAGAGTGATCCATTTTGTATTTTGTGAAGGGTTAAGCACAAATAGGTCAAAGACTGGCTGTCTATTTGATAGTCGGGGATGAGGGGAGGCTGCAGGGGCTAGAGCCGCCAGTGTGGATGAAAAATGGCACCAGAGGGGACCAGCAGTTGGCGCACTGGCTGTGTTGCTGGACTCTCATGTAGTCAACCGCGATTCAAATCCCGGACCCAGCAGCTTAATCTCACGCCAGGCTCGTAGTCAACCGCGATTCAAGTCCCGGACCCAGCAGCTTAATCTCACGCCGGGCTTGTGTGCCCTGTGTGCCCAAGATCCTGAGAGGAGAATGGAGGAGAAGGGATTGTGGCATGGCCAACCCCCCTGGGGGGTGATTTCTCGCTTTCTGTCTCTCTGTGTCTTTCTGGCGAGTGCACGCGCCCTATAGCAAAAACCTCTCCAAAAAAAGAAAAAAAAAATGGCACCAGAGGAGGCTACTCCTGCTTCACTGAAGCCTTATGTATTTAATCAGCCTGGGTGGGAGGGCACGAGCAGGCAGGGGCAGGGTGACAGGGTCATTTCCTGCTGCAGTGTATTTCTCACTTTGCCATCCCCGAATACCATATTGTTTCCTCCTGTTTCTGTCCCTAGAATACATAACAGCCAGGATCACACATACCCAAGGGAAATTGCTTTTTTCTTACCATCTTTATACATGGAGGGGTGACTTTCTCTTACAATAAATGCCTCGATAGGTTTAAGAATACAGATGCTTTATGCATTTGATCACTTTCATACTACAGACTCAGAAGTATTGTTGGAAGATAGGTTGTGACGTAAGCCAAAATCCAGTTCTACTGAAGTTTCATAGCAAGGCATTGCTCTGTGTCCGAATGATAACTCAGTGTATTTTTGGTATCCGTCCACTAGTCCGCTGCCGTGAAAGAGATCCTGAAGGAGCAGGAAAAGCGGAAGGGCCTCATAGCCGCCATCTGTGCAGGTAATGTGCAGGAACCACCTGTGTTCAGGGGTAGCATTCGGCGCAGGGTGGCCTTTTGACTTAAGGTTTTGTTCCAAGTGGTTCTTCCCCTTCACAGACCATGAAGGGCATCCATATTTTCTTATTTAGTTTGGGTGGCATGCAGCTGGTGTCATTTCAGAAATGAGCACAATTATTCTGTTCTCTGCCTCTCTGTGTCTTTGGTCTACATTCTGTGAAACTTAGTGTTTTCCCTGTTTGGTTGACCTCAGAGGAAAATAAGGCCCTCTGGAATTCGGTAAACAGCTTGTTACAGCAAATCTCTATGCCAGAAAGTCTTTCTGCCAGCACTCGGTCAGCAAGAATCTGTCAGACATAAACAGAACCGCACTGCCCTGTGCTTGCCCTGCAGATTCAGAAGCCCCGTGGTGCTTTCTGCCTGCTTCTCGGGTGTTTTCTCATTTTTCCCTTGAGCGATCTTGGGCACTGTATTATCTGCCATATCATTTTGAATAAGGTCACTTGATACTTTAAAGATGTCCTCACTTTTTTTCAGATTTAGTACTACTTTGTTTTCTGATGTTATCTGAAAATTTGTTCGTGTGGTTCTAACACCAGACGACATTCTGTTGTCTTGTGTTTTTTTCTGTAATGTGATTTCTCCCAGTGCCTGCCTCATTGGAGGTCTTTATTAAATGTTTGTCAGAACAGCAAATGAACAAGCGAAGGACTGAATGGACGGTTTGAAAAAACATGACATGTTGATGCTTGGTACAAATACGCTTTCTAAAAGTTGTGGCCTGGGGACTCGGCATTAGAGCAGTGATTCTGAGTCCTTTCAGTGGGGTCGTAAGGTCAGAGCGGATACCGTTAGATGTTATTAGCTTTGTCCTTCTCGCTCTTGCAGGAGCACATCAGAGTGTGGTGAGGCCCTCATTCAGGGATGACATGTGTGCGCGTGTCATGTATTTTAAAAATTTCTAATTTTATGGACTAGCAGGTGGCATGGAGTTCAAGGTGCTAGACCCTACATGGCCAGCTGAGCAGTTCAAGTACTAAACCTGGCAGCTTGAAAATCATGCAGGACCAGCAGTTAGCGTAATGGCTATGTCCCTGGACTCCCACGTAGTCAACCGCGGTTCGAGTTCCGGACCCGGTGGCTTAAACTCATGCTGGGCTCATGTGCGTGCGTGCCCAAGATCTCGAGAGGAGAATGGAGGAGAAGGGATTGCGGCGTGACCATCCCCCCAGGGGGTGATTTCTCGCTTTCTGTCTCTCTGTCTCTGTCTGTCTGGCGAGCGCTCCCTATAGCAAACACCTCTCAAAAAAAGAAAAAAAAAATCACGCCAGGCACATGTGCATATGTGCCAAAATTCTAAGAGGAGGATGAAGGAGTAGGGATTGCAATGTGGACACTCGCCCTGGGATCTCGTTCCCTCTCTCTCTCTCTTTCTTTGGCAAGCACATATGCCCTATAGCAAGCAAAAAAAAAAATTCTAATTTTACTTTCTAACGTGGCACATATTGAAAAATGCAGCCCACATAAGAGCCAAAGGGATCCTACAGTTTAAATGTTTGAGAACCACTGCATTAGAGTCTGGGAAATACAGCTGGGTGGAGTCCTTGGGTTCAGCCAAAACTTGCTTCTTGGGATCAGCAGTTAGTGTAATGGCTATGTCTTTGGACTCCCACATAGTTGACCACAATTCCTATTCCTGACCTGGTGGCTTAAAACTCACGCCAGGTGTGTGTGTGCGTGCGTGCGTGCCTAAGATCCCGAGAGGAGAATGGAGGAGAAGGGATTGCGGCGTGGCCATCCCCCCTGGGGGGTGATTTCTTGCTTTCTGTCTCTCTGTCTCTCTCTCTCTGTCTGTCTGGCAAGCGCACGCACCCTATGGCAAAAACCTCTCAAAAATAAAAAAATCTCCTTGACTGCTGTGGGGCACAGGGATTTTTTTCTGCCAAAGGACCCTGCAGTCACTGTAGGTCAGGCAGTGGCACCCGACTTTGGGAAGAAAGGTCCTATTGGTTTGTTAACTGACTAGGCTGCTGCTGTGAAACCAGCCTCATTCTTAGGTGCTTTGGCCAAAGGAAAAAAGTAAGGACTTTGTTCCCTTATGGCTCTGCTGAAGTAAAACCATGGTCAGTCTGTCCTTCTGTGTCACTAAGGTAGCAGAATTATCAGCCACATCTGGCTCACTGTTTTGTCTAGGCACGCGTGAATGCTATGCTAAGAAGCAGAGATCTATAATTTAAGTAGACATTAAAAACACGTAGCACTCTAGCGGTGTATTTATATGGTTGGATATCCTGTGCCACTATTCTGAGTGCCATGCCAATAAAAAGAGAAAAAGAAAGAAAAAACTGTGATACTGAGCTGAGTAAATTATAGTAACTCAGGTGTGAAATGAGGGTGATGGGGATAAAGGAATGATAGAGAAGATTCAGATTTTTTTCAATTGCCAGATGGCCCATGCATTCACCAGAAATAGAGAGTGGGAAAAGGGAAAAAGGAGACCCCTCAAAGGAATATGCTCACACTACAGTCCCTTCTCCATTTCTTACCCTTCAAGATTTGGGGCAAGCATGCACACACACTCAGTGTGTTCAATGTGATTTTCAAGCCGCCAGGGCTGGGATTCAAGCTATGGTTAGCCATTTAGGATCCTCTTTTTTTTTTTTTTTTAAGAGCAATTTTTGCTATAGAGGGCATGTGCTTGCTGGAGAGACAAAGAGACAGAAAGTGAGAAATCACTCCTATGAGGGATGGCCATGCTGCAGTCCCTTCTCCTCTCAGGATTTTGGGCATGTACACACCCTTGTGATGGGAGTTTTAAGCCAGAACTTGAACCATGGTTAGTCATGTGGGAGTCAAGCAACATAACTATTATACTATCTGCTATTCCCAGATCCAACACTCTTAACCACTAGGCTACAGGGCTAGCCCAATTCAGAATTTTAAAAAAATATTTATTTAATTTTATTTACTCATTCATTTATTTTTAGTTTGATGAGAGACACAGAGAGAGAAAGAGGGAAAGTGAGAAAGCAAGCCACCAGGTCTGAGACTTGAACCATGGTCGGCCATGAGGGAGTGTCCAGCACCTTAACTACCACGCCACCTGCTGGTCCCCCAATTCAGATTTTTTAAATCAGCAGACAAAGTAAGATTCTTCCAGAGTTTTGCAGTTAGAAATTTGAAACTGGCTTTTGAACTGAAAAATATCAGGTGAGCCTCTATTATTGCGTAAATGGAAAAGACAGGAATTAGAAGGGAGACTCGTGAGAAGATAATAAAGTGAGACAAAGCATAGAAAAAAATCAGTAATGTTTTTGTCAAAAGTCATAGAATTCTATTTCACCAGTTCGGTCTTATGTGATTGACCTCTCTTTTGTTGAAGTTGCAGTGTTACTGTGGTCTGATCTTTCCGTTTAAATCCTGGAAGTTAACATTCAGCATTATTATTGATATTCGTGGGCTTGTCCCTACCATTAAATTGGCCATTATCTTGGTTGATTTTTGTTCTCTTATTTCTATCTTCAGTTTTCCTGGATATTTCACCAGTTCGGTCTTATGTGATTGACCTCTCTTTTGTTGAAGTTGCAGTGTTACTGTGGTCTGATCTTTCCGTTTAAATCCTGGAAGTTAACATTCAGCATTATTATTGATATTCGTGGGCTTGTCCCTACCATTAAATTGGCCATTATCTTGGTTGATTTTTGTTCTCTTATTTCTATCTTCAGTTTTCCTGGACTAGCACTCCCCTACCATTAAATTGGCCATTATCTTGGTTGGTTTTTGTTCTCTTATTTCTATCTATCTTCAGTTTTCCTGGTCTAGCACTCCCTTCAGAACTTCTTGAAGAGCTGGTCTGGTGTTGGTAAATTCTTTCAGGTTTTGTTTATCTGAGAATGTTTCTAGAATATTATCTGCTGCCTGGCATCAGAAATTGATTTCTTGTGGGGCTTTGTGCAAATAACAGACCAAACTGAGACCAAACTTATTTATTTATTTATTTTGCAAATAAGTTAGTTTACACCTCTCTTTAGTAAAGAAGGGAATGGAGAGAGAAAAAAATGTTTCAGAAGAAAACTACAGTGCACTTGTCACTAGATTCTAGCTTCGTCCGTATTTTTAGTTTAATTAAGATCTTTTGTGAATCAATAAATGATAAAAATAAAAGTCTAGTATGAAAGGGTGAGAGGAGAAAGGGAAAAAAAGTAAAAGTACGTATAATTGACAAAATGAGAAGCTATTTTGCTGATGATAATATGTATAGTAATATCCTTGTCTTGACTGATACGCATGGTATTCATGCTGGAAAAGTAATGTTGTACACTGTAAGGATATATATGATTAAATGTAAATTTTAATAAAAAGATAGGAGGTCCGCTGCGACTGCAGGATGGGATTTGTTAAAGTCATCAAGAATAGGCCTACTTTAAGAGATACCAAGTAAAATTTAGAAGACGACGAGAGGGTAAAACTGATTACTATGCTCAGAAATGCTTGGTGATCCAGGGTAAAAATAAGTACAACACACCCAAATGAGGATAGTTCGTGTAACTAACAGAGGTATCATTTGTCAGATCGCTTATGCCCGTATATGATAGTCTGCACAGCTCATGCACATGAACTACCAAAATACGGTGTAAAGGTTGGCCTGAGAAATGATGCTGCAGCATGTTGTACTGGCCTGCTGCTGGGCCGCAGGCTTCTCAATAGGTTTGGCGTGGACAAGATCTATGAAGGTCAAGTGGAAGTAACCAGAGATGAGTACAATGTAGAAAGCATCGATGGTCAACCTGGTGCCTTCACCTGCTATTTGGATGCAGGCCTTGCCAGAACCACCACTGGCAATAAAGTTTTTGGGGCCCTGAAGGGAGCGGTGGATGGAGGCTTATCTATCCCTCA